AAGGAAGGTCTGAGAAACTGTCACCACCAAGAAGAGCCAAAGGAGATGCAGCAACTAATGTCATGGGGTATTCTAGGTGGGATCCCGAGACAGAAAAGGATGTTAGGTAAAAACTAAGGAAATCTGAATAGGCTATAGATTTTAACTACTAATAATGTACTAATAATGTATCAGCATTTGTTCATTGATCAAATGTACCATGCTAATGCAATATGTTAACAATAGGAGAAACTGTGTGGAGAATATATGGGAATTCTCTGTACCATTTACTAAATTTTTCTGTACATATAAAAATGTTCTAAAAATTAGTCTATTTTTTTAAAAAAAAAAAAAAGCTTATCACTGCCCAAACAAAAAGAGCATTTGTAGCAGTAGGGCAAATAATATTCTTTTAAAGAACTGCTACTATTACTACTCCTCCTCTTCCTCTTCCTTATTGCTATTGTTATAGTAATACTATGAGATGATCTGGCAGTGTTAAATGCCTCTAGGAACCTTTAGAATTAGGATGCAGTTGAAGAGTAGCTTTCTGTGAGCCTTGTATTAGGCCAGGCTTTGGCAAGCTACAGCCAATGGGCCAGATCTGACTGTTTTAGTAAATAAAGTTTTATTGGAACACAACTAATGCTCATTCATGTTTACATTTTGTCCTTGGCTGCTTTTACGCTACAATGGCAAAACTGAGCAGTTGCACCAGAGACCAGATGGCCCACAGAGCTTAAAAAATATGTACTATCTGGCCAACCCCCGGTTTAGGTTACCTGAGTTACAAGGTAGATGGTGAGGAAGGTAAGCTGGGCCACCAGAATTCATCTGGGTTATAATCAAGTATCTATCAAATAGAACTCTGCAGATCAAGTAGCGTGAGTAAATAGAGTAGTCAGCTTCAGAGGTGGCCACATGTTTAAGGTGTCTGAACACTCTTTTTTTTGCTGCAGAGCTGTGTCTTTTGGCCCCATGAGTGTATCAGCTGTGTGAACCCTACCCCTTCAGACTTCCAACTTTAGGGACTTCCGTCTTGGCCTTTTCACTCTACTCTTCTTTTAGTGTTCCTAACTTTGACATGAGAGTAAATAGTCAGAACTTAATGTGTTTTTCAATGTGCCAAGCACTTACACATGCTCATCAATTTCTTCCTTATGAAGTAGGGCTGCCATAGTCTCTGTTTATAGATAAGGAAACTGAGGCTCATTAAAGTGCAATAATTTGCTCAGGAAGGTCACTTGGTTCATAAATGCTGAGCCATGGTTTGAATCGAGGCTTTGTTAAATTCCCTACAAATAAGCCCGCATTCAGTGCTGGAGCTGGCTCACACTGGCTGGTGAGAACCAATCATTGAATTTTTAGGAATTCTGTGAGCCAGTTAACAAATTCAGCCGTTATTAAAAATTAAATTATGTAAACTTTACAACCAAATAAGTTGTATTAAGAACAAAGATAATACACCTCAAAACTCTTCACTAGTTATTACTACATTTTACTATTCTCTATGCTCTTGAGATTATTTATGTCTACGGAATCTGAATGGTGAAAGTGCTATCTCATGGTGTCCTCTTACACATCTCTGCCAAGCTCCACGTTTGGTGATGTCACGTTGGTTGCTTGAAACTGGCCATGATAGGAGTATTTATACCAAAGAAATGGGCAAACACTACAGATTAGGGCTTTACCTTTTTTCCTTGAAAGCCAGCTGGTTACATATTTTCCAGAATACCAGTGCTTACCCTGCATTCTGATTTTGATCTCTAGTATTCTAGACAGTTACATTTGTTTCTGCTTGGCCTCCTATCTTGACCATTGAACTCTATAACTTTTATAGTTCATGCTATAGCAATCTACAGAGAGGACCTGAGCTTTTTTTTTTTTTTAAGACTTATTTATTATTTAGTTATTTATTTTTGGCTGCGTTGGGTCTTAGTTGCGGCAAGCAGGATCTTTGTTGAGGCATGCGGGAGTTTTCGTTGTGGAGTGCGGGCTCTTCATTGCGGCGTGCAGGCTTCTGTCTAGTTGTGGCTTGCAGGATTCCTCTTCTCTAGTTCTGGCGAGTAGGCTTCAGGGCGTGTGGGCTCTGTAGTTTCCAGCACACAGGCTCTCTAGTGGAGCCTCGAGAGCTCAGTAGTTCTGGCTGCAGGCTTAGTTGCCCCACGGCATGTGGGATCTTAGTTCCCTGACCAGGGATCGAACCCGCATCCCCTGCATTGGAGGGCAGATTCTTTACCATTGGACCACCAGGGAAGTCCCTGAGCTCTTTTTTATTATTTTTGTTTGTTTGTTTTTCTGACAGTGGGTAGCATTTCCTTAGTGTAATTCCCTTGTTGATAAAATATGTTCCACCTGGTGAGGAAGAAGTTTCAACAATTTTATAATTTGCTTTTGAATGCAGAAACAGGTTTAAGGATAGCTTGTAATCCATAAAAAAAAAAAAAACAAAACAAAACCCTAGAGTTGAATTATCTTTATAAATATAGGGTGATCTCCCGTTGTTCAGAATTGTTGGTAAGATTTTCTACTTAAATAATTTTCTGGCTACATGAGGATTGTAGCCAGAAAAATTTTCTTAAAAAATGTTTAAATTTAAGTATAGTGGATTTACAGTGTTTCAGATATATAGCAAAATGATTCAGTTATACATATGCATATATATTTATCTATTCTTTTTCAGATTCTTTTCCATTATAGGTTATTACAAGATATTGAATATAGTTCCCTGTGCTATACTTGTTGTTTATCTATTTTATATATAGGAGGATTGCTATATATCTTGATGTGCTACTAATCTGCAAAGCAACAAATTTTTACAGCCAGGTTTAGTTAACACAAATGGTCATGCACATAATTTGATTGGTAACAATTCAGAGGAAGAGGGAGCATAGTGAAATGTCTCAAAAACATCCTCTTAAACATCACGGGTGTAATCTCCAATTTATAAACTGTCTTGTTCCAAATGCTATAGATACTGTTTGCAATTTGTGATACATGCTTCATGCTTTCAAATTTCACCTGCAGGGATTAGGGTTCCAGATTACTCCAGAAAAGTGCTTTAAGCATTTAAATGTAATAGGACTCTAAAATGAAGCCACCACTTATAACACTGTTCCTCATGAAAATGCCCCCAGAGTTCTGACTTGGGATCCCAGGTTCCTTAATGAAACTCCTTTTTACACGAGAGCACAGGGATAGAAGTGGATCTCCATAATTGTACCAGCAGTGGGCAAAGAAGAGCCTGGACATCCCATATTGGTGGGGAGAGGGGGGCTGTTCTGGACATTATGCAAGGAGGGAGCTGCCAGACAGATACTGGAGTAGAAGGGAGGTACATAAGTTGTGAGAAGCCCCTGCTGTTGCCAGAATGAGTTTACTGGCTATTTGAACGTCTGGTAATTAGGAGTTGGCTGAATTATTATTTTTAACTATAATTCCATGTATCATATTAATTAATGTAGACCATATCTTGAAATCAGTGCTGTTCAAAGTGTGAATAGAAGACTAGCATCTGTCTGCAAACTGTCTGTTACTTGAAACTGAGAATAAGCATTGAGAAACTTGTAGCAATTGACAGTATACTTTTTACAATGATTGAATCTAAAAGATAAGGGCCTATATATTGTTCATTTTATTTTTCTAGTAATTCCTTTTATTCATTTTTATTATACGTGACAAAAGTATTAGCTTAGATAGATTGGAAATTTTAAGGCTGGTCCTTTTGAGAAGCATTGCTACAGTGGGCTTCAGAAGGTCTCTGTTAGTTTGGAAATTTTATAGTTTATTTCTCTCCTTTTACTGCTTACTCTGAAATTTTTGTTTGTTTTTACTTAAACAGATTAAAAATAAGCCTGGTTCTCCTTCTGGATGGGGCCCTAGCTATTTTAAGGTAAAGCAGGGCAAGTTCCATTGCACTGATGGATAATTCTAACATTTCCTGTTTGGGAAACCTCTGAGGCTACCTCTGATTCTTATTTTATGAGTGTGGAAATCCTTGTCTCTCAAGTTTCCCTCAACATCGATTTCTTTTTCAGAGCTGATCCAGAGGGATGGATGGTAAGGTGTACTTTCCTTCAGACCTGGGATCTTGACTTCACTCTCATTTGAGTGACGTGGTTTACACATCAGTGCTGCTGGTACCCTCTCTTTATAAACCCCCTCACACATAAAGCCAAACTTGAATATGGAGGCTTTGGACTCAGTGTATGAGAAGCCTCAGAAAAGGAAAAATCACACTTTATTTACAAGAAGAATGGCTTTGGGAAAAAATGTGTACAGTATACAGCATGTTAGTACATTTCCAGAAAATTAGTCAAATCAAGTTGCAGATGTAGTCAGAAAATTCTCAACATGAGTTCTCTGTACAATATTTTGGTGGATAAAATCAAATGGCTTATACCTAATATTTTCAAAGTGCAGTGGACCCAGCTTATTCTCAAGTCACCTTGGAACTGACTTGGAATTGAAAGCTTCCACAATGCATTCATGGTTTTGCTGTGAATTATGAAGTGCTTGTGTCTCTGCTGTAAGGTGTTGGGATTCAGGAATAGAATCAAATTCCTGAGAAACACCACCATAGTCACCAACTCAGAACACCAGTGGCCTTCCTCTTTGTTCAGGGAAGTTTTCTTTCCCTCACAGTCGATGTGCTTTGTTTCTTTTATAGTTTCTGATGCTCTGGTATTAAAGTGAATTTCTGCTGAGGTACCATTATAGTATGGATATCATATATGCTATAGATTTTGTCCTTTCTGACTTTAAAAGGGTTAAATTTGAAGACAACACCATTGCTGCTGTTGCTAAGTGCTCATCAGTATGTCTTTAAAGGCAATGACTCATTCCCAGCATTTTCACCAAAAGAGAAACATTTAAGATTATCCTTTTTGGTCTACTCCTGAAGATTGTTGTCTCTTTATTTATCACCTTCATGACTGGTACGTTCTTAAGCTGAGGTTGCCGTATGGAGAGGTAGATTTTTCTACACGTTGCTTAAAATATTGTTTGTATTTTTCAACTAGGTGGCTGTGCTACGATCCCAGAATCAGACCTAGAAGAAAGATCAGTAGAGCAAGACTCCACTGAACTGTTTACCAACCGCAAACACCTCATCGTGGAGACGCCCATGCCTGGTAAGAGAATGGGTGGCCTTCACAACTAGCATGTCAGGAACAGCGAGACACTGGTCAGGTTTTGTCATACCAGAAAGCATTTTGCAAAATTGCTTGTTTTCTAACTTATTCAGCCTTCACCTTGGCATTGGTGCAGCTGAGTTTGATCATTTGTATATTCCTTTCAATATTCAGACCTTTTCTCTCTCTTTCTTTCATTTTTCCAGAAGTTTCACCCCTCCAAGGAGTTTCAGAATAGCTGAAGTAGAGTTGTTTGGTTGAGGGGAAGATGGCCTTCCCAAGGCTGATCATGTGTGGACCTCATGCCAAGCACAGATGAAGGTGCTTCATACAGCTCACCTGCCAGGAGATAACAATAGGTAGAGATGGGGATGGGGACTTTTAATTTTTCTAGGAGGACTTGTAATACTATGGGCAAGTCAGTTGAACTTGTCTTACCAGGAAAGGATGTTGCTGCTTTTTGGTCATCTGTATGCTTTCAGCCACAGTATATAGTGAGATGACATCTTTGGGGGGCAGACTTTGTAATGCAAAGACCCAGATCCTACTTGATACCCCAGTTTTTTCACAGAATTCTTATGTATTAAATGTATCGAGTTTAATAAAAGCATCTCATTGTCAAACAATATCTTGGATTTGATTTATAATCAGAGGGTTATATAGTTGATTTCTTTATTTATTTAAAGTGAAGAAGTTGAACGGAACTAAAAATGTTGCTTCTCCACAGTAAGACTTGAATGTGGTTATTTTATAAATACAAGAAACTACTATTAGGCTAAAAGTGGGAAAAGGTGAGTTTTCTAGTATTGCATGAAAATGTTAAAATATTTTCAAGGAAGCTAGTACATTAACATCCTCTTTCATTACCCCAATGGGAGATACCTTTTAAAAATCCAGGTTATAGAAGGATTCACACTTTATTATAATTAAAATGTAAGGTTTTCATATGCAGGAAATAGAGGAGATTTTGCCAATTTCGAGTTAAAATTACAGTTGCAAGACTGATTTATTTAAATAAAAATATGTCTGTGCCAGTTTTGGAATGCCTCAGTCAGTACAAAGGAGAAAGTGGCTCGCAGTTTTTCTATAAGTGAAATGTCAAAAAAATTGCAGAGGATGTATTATTTATTATTTATAGCATTCTTTTTTAGGAGATGCAGCAGAAGATTAAATAGTTTTCATTGTCAAGTATGGGAGTGGACACCTTCTAGCCTTTGGGCCAGAATCAACCATTAGGTTAATGTTACCCAGCCTGTGGGGACCAGTAAAAGATGTCTTGGCTCTGTGTATGCCTAAAGATGCAAAACCACAACACTTCTGATCATCTTTAACAGCTTCATTGAAGAAAGGTTAGAAGAGAAGTATATTCCTTCTTTAAAGAGTGTTTCTCAGTTGTGTCTTTTTTTCTTTTTCTTTTTTCTTTTTGGTATTTGGTTCCCAGGGATATTTTTTCCATGGAGTGCATGTGTCCGTGTGCTCATCTCTGTTCTCCTTTCTTATCTCTTTTTTTTTTTTGAGTCATGCCCTGTTTGTCGTGTCCTGTCTGCCTTTCTTTAACTCAATTTCTTTTTCTCTCTTGTTTCTATGTTCATCAGCCTTGATCAGTCTTTCCCTTCCTCTGTTCCCCCCAATTCTTTCCCTTCACTTTTTGATTCTCTCCCTTTATTTCCTGTGATATAAAACTGAAGCATATCATTTGATTTGTAAAGGTTACTTTAAATGTGCATGAGTACAGTGATTTCTATCTCTTTCAAATCTCTCCTCCATTGTTTCCTTTTTTTAATGGCCTCCACAATTTCTCTATTCCATGAGGGAGTGTTTACCAGTGTAAACTCAAAAGGCTTCCTATCTCTGATTTGGGAGTTTAAGGTGACTTCTGCTGCTACAATTACATCTTATACTGAGAGTTTTTAATGTTAAGAAGTATATTTACAAGAAGTTTTCCTAGAAATCATTATCAGTATCTTAAGCCTATTAGCAAAATTACTTGACCAAATAATTTTATTTTTTTATTTGGATCATTTGAATACAGAACTCTGTATGCATACATCATACATATAAATATTTTAGAATGTTTCTAATTTATTACTATTTGCATTTTACTAGCTGCCAAAAGGAAAGAAGTTACTAATTAAACTTTTTAAAATTGAAATATAGTTAATTTACAATACTTTGTTAGTTTCAGGTGTACAGCATAGTGATTCGGGTTTTTTTGCAAATTAATTCCATTATAGGTTATTACAAGATATTGGATATAATTCCCTGTGCTATACAGTAAACCCTTGTTGCTTATCTATTTTATGTATAGTAGTTTATATATGTTAATATTCCTAGTTTGTTACCCCCTCCCCTTTGGTAAGTTTGTTTCCTATGTCTGTGAGTCTGTTTCTGTTTTATATATAGATTCATCGGTATTATTTTTTAGATTCCATATATAAGTGATGTCATATAGTATTTGTCTTTCTCTGACTTACTTCACTAAGCATTATATTCTCTAGATCCATCCTTAAATAACCTTTTAAACATTATCAAATTTAAAATGTAAGTTCTAAAATGATAAAAATGATTTGATTAATGACATAAATTTAACTTTGTTAAAGAATTTCCTGAATTTAAGTTGTACATATCTTCTACTCCTGATTTTAGCCTCATGACTTAAAAACACAAAAGCTGTTTAAAGTGTTTCTACTAGCAGAAAAATAATGGAGCCAAGAATTATGTTATCTTTTAGAGTGGCTGTTTAAAAATCAAGACCCAAATAATTCTTAACTATTCCTATTATTTTGAGACCAATATTTCAGTCTTTAATAACGATTGTCCATTATGTCTTTTGTGTGTGTGTGTGTACATAATCTTGGAGTAACTCACAAATCTGGAAGAAGGAAGATGATCCAGGTTTCTGATTAGCCCAGTGGTTTCATTATTACCCAATATATCAGGATAGGTACTAATAAAATAGCAACATTTATTAAATTCTTACTATGTGCTGCTACTTTGTATGCATGATTTCGCTCACTCCTCATGACACGACTGTGATGTAGAGAATGTTGTTATCTCTATTTTACAGATGAGAGTACTGAGATTTACAGAGTCTAAATAATTTGTCCAGTATCCCACAGTTAATATGTAGCAGAACTGGGATTTTAATCCAGGCTAATTCCAAAAGCCCAAATACACACCCAAATGTATAGATTATTGGTAAGATGTTCATTTTAAAACCGAGGGCTTATAGTCCAAGATACCTACATTTCTTTGATATCTAGTGTGTTTGCACATTTAAAAAATTTACTTTTCTTTGCCATTTGTATTTCTCCTTTGCTGAATTCCCTGTTCCTATTCTTCTTTTCCTGTTTTTTGGTGGTGGTGATAATTATCTCCTTATTGACTTATAATAGCCTTTTATGTGGAAATGATTTTAATCTTTGGTTGACTGAGTATGATATAAACATTGTTCTCAATTTTTCACTTGTCTTTTAATTTTGTTTCTGAGTGTGTTTTTTTTTCTTTTAATAGAAAATTTCTAAATTTTAAGTAGCCAAATCTATTAACCCCTTTCTTTGTAGTTTCTGCTTTTGGTGTCCAACCTGTGTGGTCTGTCTAATGCCCTTTCCTGTTTCTTCTCTGTGCCAGTCTGTGGTCGTGCTCAGGCTGTTGTGTTCTGTGCTATGGCAGCTTCAGTCATATCCTCTACTCTGGTGCACTGGGTTCTGTGAGCCACAGAGCTATGTTCTCTTCTGCTTTCATATCTCAAAGAGCTTTACACAAAATGTCTCCTAGGTTTTACCCAATTTCTTCCTTCCGCCTGTGGAGAATGACCCAAGTGATAGACACTCCACAGCTTTCAAAATACCACTCCCCTCTGATCTTTGCCCCTCCTCCACCATGGGCTCTCCTTTAGGATGATTGGCATTCCGAAAGTTTCCTTAGCACTCTTGTAAATAGCCTTGCCCACACCATGCCCACACCATGCCCTCCAGACATGGCCAGATATGTCCCCATCCCATGTGAACACAGGTTGGGCTCAGGTTGGGCATGTGGGGCCCATTTATATCTATGTGTACAGACGTAAGAGAGGTGAGTCAGTGATAAAGTTCTGTACCTCAATCCCCCAGTTCTCTAAGCTGTTTGGCTCCCCAGCCTTTCAAGGGACTGGCTTGGTATTTCCACAGGACAGGTACACCTGGAGTGCAAGGGTTCCCTCAAGTTGAGGAACATCAGATTGTGTTATGAATGGCTTTTCTAAAATTCCATTAATTGGAAAAAATATTCTCTGGCCTAAAAGTTGCTAAACCAAGAGACCTCTGTGTTTTCTTAAAATATCTGTCTCTGAGTAATTGGTAGTCTGTGTCACAATGTACACAATTCCCTATCACATAAAAATGCAGGTAAAGACGAGTGAAAGAATCAAAACAAAATATATGTGAGGAGTGTTTAACCCCCTAAAAAGCATTGTATGAGCACAGGATTGTCAGTGGTCACCTGCCACAGCAGCAATGTCCTCTTTGTGTGCCAACAGTGTCGTCCGTGGCCTTCTGTTCAGATATAGGGTGTGTCCATAATAGTCAGGGAGCCTGTGAGGGGAGGGTTGATGGGAGAGAGACTCAAGCTGGTGGTTTTCAGCCTTGGTTGCACATTAGGATCTCTCATTTTCTTCTTTTCGCTGATCTATATTTTCAGTGTTTTGTTAATGAATATTTATTGCTCTTGTAATAAGAGAACAGATCCCATCTTAGAATATATCAGTTTTAGTGATATAAATAATAATTAGGAACGTACTCTTGCTGATTAGCGTTTTCTATATTAACAGCATGAGTTTTAGAGAATAATCTACTTGGACAGTGAGCTCTAGTAGTTCAGAAAAGTCCAGAGTGTAATGTATTTTCATCAAAACAGCATGATTATTATAATTTATAGCAGTAATATGAACATGGAATTGTATTGAAAATTACAGTTTCTCTTCATGTCCTTAACATCATCTGATGCAAAAAAGCAAATGTGTCAATTAAATATGAAAATGATACTAAGAGGATTCTGAAGGAGCAACACAAGGCTGTTTAGATTATAACAGATGCTGCCTTTTCTATAGTCTTTCTGTGTATGTAGCATTGAATTAGCTGGTGTTATTTTTCTATTTTTGTAGGTAAATTATGGAAGCTATGTGGACATCGCATGTGTTAAGAGTTTTGTTGCTTTGGACTTCAAAAGGTATAACTTACAGTACAGCAGTATTGCCAAAGGCTAATTAGAGTAAGATGCCTGTTAGAGTGATCATGTCCCCCAGTGCCTAATCTCTGGGCTGGAGAGAGGTTCTCTGTTCAGGCTGATGTGGAAAAAATCTTGCAAAACCACTAATTCTCAGGCTCGCCATCATTTCATTTTAATTATATTCAACCTAGATCCCAACCCTTCCTTCAGGGCTTGGTCTGAATAAATTATCTCCTCACCTGGATGGCAAGAGCCACATTTGAGGCCCTCTAGGGAGAAGTGGGCAGATCATTGTGCATCACAGCTTTTAGTCCCATTTGCTGGCTCCTTATTATATTCTCCTCCTTTTTTGTCTTTTTATTTTGCTCCACTTTTAAATGTATTCTCTTTTGTTGTATTGACAGGACCTTGTAAGCCCCTTAAATCACTTCTGTAATGGGGCGGGGGGTGGTGAATAAATCAATATTGGCACCTCTCAGGACTTTCCTAACCGCCATTGCTGGCAGTCACATTTCCCTCACGAGAACATTGTGAACTCCATGCCTCTCTAACGACCTCTCTCACTTACTGTATTTTACAAGTTAGATTTTCCTTTCCTGCTAGAATAGATGTGCACATTCCTTGGACACAGCAGTTCTTGGATTCTTTCTACTGTTTAGTAAATATTTGTTGTATCAATAAATCAACTAACCTAAAAGCAGTCAGCAAGCCGTAGACAAATGGAGCAATCAGTGATTTAGAATACTGGCTGTGATCTTACTTTCCAAATTTATTTTTACAGATTGTGCTAAGAAGAGGCTGATATGACTCTCCAACAGTATTTACTTAAAGT